TAATATTTTTTTCAAGTGACGATATTTTTAAAATATTTTTTAAGGAAAAGAAGAAAAAATGACAAAAATACAACTAAAAAGGTAAAATAAAGAGGAAAATAACTAATTTTCACCCCCACACCTAAATTTTGCATTGTCCTCAATACAAACTCTATGATGCACAAAGTAAAGCATATAATAAGTGAAGTACTTATATTTGGTTGGCTGATAAAATCTGTAATTACCTTTTGTCTGAGGAGGATGAAATCAAAAATTTATTTTTTTTCTTTTTTTGTTGAACAAGAAACTCTCAAATGAGAGAAGAATAAATTCTTTTTATTACTCTAAGAAAAATAAAATAAACAATGTAGAAATAAAGTGTTCAACATGCAGAGCTCGTATTCTACAATGAAAATTTAGAAAACTATAAAATAAACCCCCTCAAAAATTTTAAAAAGTGTAAAAGAACACTCCAAAATTTGTAATTTACAAATACACAAAACTATTAAAACATTACATTGAAATCAAAGAATTACAAAAAAAATCATTGAAAGTTTTTAAACTTTAGAAGGATAATTTGCAATATACTAAACTTTAAGGGTATTTTTTATAAATTTCAAATTTACTAGATTTTTAATTAGTTATGTTATTTTCAAAAAAGTTATGAATAATATTTACCATAAAATTTTTTCCCTAAACCTATACTTTTTAAAGGTGTATGATATTTTTTACAAATTTTTACTTTTCTAGGGATTAGTAATTTTGCATATTCATTTTAGTGTTTATATGTTATAAATTCTCATAGAGTTTTTTTTGTAAATTATGAATTTTAAGGACTTTTTGTAAATTTTTAAACTTATAGGCATTTTCTACAGATTGTAAATTATTTATAGACTATTAATACTTCATATGCTTTTAATTTACTAATGAATTTGAAAATTTTAGGGTGTTTTTATAAATTTTGAATTTTAAACATTTGTTTGTAATTTTTAAAACTTTAAGGGTGTTTTCTATAAATTATAAATTATGTAGGGAATATTTATAATTCCTATACTTTTAATGTACTGTTAGGTAAAAAATTATCAGGATTTTTGTAATTTTATAATTTTAAGGATTTTATTTTGTAATTTGTAAAAAGTTCAGATTGTGTATTGTAAATTCTATAAATTATTGGGGATTGTTTATTTTATTTGTAGGTTTTTTAGTATATTTATAAGTTTGACATTTTCAATGTGTTTTTATAAATTTTTAATTTTTAGGGGTGTTTTTATAATTTTAAAACTTACAATATATTTTCTCCAAAGTCTAAAAACTTTATGGGTAATATTGACCATAAAAAGATTTTTCCAAACTCGCAATTTTAAAGAATACAAGTACACAAAACTATTAAACATTACATTGAAATCAAGGAATTACAAAAAAATAATTGAAGATTTTAAACTTTGGAGGGATAATTTGCAATGTAATAAACTTTAAGGGTATTTTTTATAAATTTTAAATTTAATAGGTTTTTAATTAGTTATGTTCTTTTCACAAAAGTTATGGGTAATATTTACCATGAAAAGTTTAACCTAAATCTATACTTTTAAAAAGTGTATGATATTTTTTTGTAAAATTTTAATTTTCTAGGGTTTGTTAGTAATTTTGCATATTCATTTTATTGTCTGTAGGTTATAAATTCTCATAGTTTTTATTTTTGTAAACTATAAATTTTAAGAATTTTTTGTAATTTTTTAAACTTAATTAGATGCCTTTTCTACAGATTGTAAATTGTTTATAGACTAATAATACTTTCTATGCTTTCAATTTACTAATGAATTTGAAATTTTCAGAGTGTTTTTTATAAATTTTGAATTTTAAATATTTTTTTATTTTTTTAAAATTTTAAGGGTGTTTTCTATAAATTATAAATTATGTAGGGAATTAAAAAAATCATTAAAAAATTTTAAACTTTGGTAGGATAATTTGTAATATAATAAACTTTAAGGGTATTTTTTATAAATTTTAAATTTAATAGATTTTCAATTAGTTATGTTCTTTTCACAAAAGTTATGGGTAATATTTACCATGAAAAGTTTAACCTAAATCTATACTTTTAAAAGGTGTATGATATTTTTTATAAAATTTTAATTTTCTAGGGTTTGTTAGTAATTTTGCATATTCATCTTAGTGTCTGTAGGTTATAAAGTCACATGGAATTTTTTTTTGTAAACTATAAATTTTAAGGATTTTTTGTAATTTTTTAAACTTAATTAGATGCCTTTTCTATAGATTGTAAATTGTTTATAGACTATTAATACTTCCTATGCTTTCAATTTACTAATGAATTTGAAATTTTCAGGGTGTTTTCTATAAATTATAAATTATGTAGGAAATTAAAAATACTTATAATTCTCATACTTTTAATGTATTGTTAGGTCAGAAATTATCAGGATTTGTATAAATTTTGCAATTTTGAGGGTTTTATTTTATAATTTGTAAAAGGTTCAGATTGTGTATTGCAAATTCCATAAATTTTTGGTGGTTGTTTGTTTTATTTGTGGTTTTCAGTATGTTTATAAGTTTGACATTTTCAAGGTGTTTTTATATAAATTTTAAATTTTAAGGGGTGTTTTTATAATTTTTAAACTTACAAGATATTTTTTCCAAAGTCAAAAAACTTTCAATTTCTAGTTAGCATATATTTTTCAGATTTCTCACTGAATTAAGATAAGTAAAACTTATAGTTTTCAATATGCTTTAATAAAATTTTGAATTTATAGAGGCTTTTTTATAATTTAAAAAACTTGGAGAATATTTTTTACAAAGTCCAAAAACTTTTAGGTGTTAGCTAGCATATATTTTTTAGATTTCTCTACGAACTAAAATAAGTAAAGGATTTGAATTATATAAAACATATTTATTTTATCCAATAACATGTTAAGTCTCATTATGAATATAATAGATCATTTGGTTACCAATTCAAAGTAGATGAGATAATTAGATATTCCCCGCTTCTCCTAACTTTTAACAAACATGCACCCGGTAACGTTGAAGATAATTTTCTGTTAGTATTACGAATTTTCTCACCGCATCTGAAAGTTCGCGAGTTTTTATAATACACATATGTTATAAATAGTTTTGTTCAAAACCCTGTAAAATTATAATTAGTACGTAGCATGTATAGTTGACGAAAATTAGTAAGCATCTTGTGTAGATAGAGGAGGGAAATCTTATTAATATGCATTTTGCTATCTGGAACATTAGAGGATTTAATAAATCCTCTAAGCATTCAATAGTTAAGCATTTTATACAAGAGTATAATCTCTCTTTACTAGCTCTCCTGGAAACTAAGATTCCTGAAAATAAGCTTCCTATGCTAGCAAGAAAAATTGCAAATGGCTGGCATTGGACATCAAATGTGCATGAAGCTAGAAACTACAGAATTTGGATACTTTGGGATAATGAGTCCTTGATAATTCAGAATGTTATATTATCAGAGCAGTTCATAACTATGTCTATTGAATCAAGAGATGGAAAAATTTCTAGTTTATGCACAATTGTTTATGCTCTCAATCAAACAAGGTGGTCTGGGTTTGTTTTCTGCTAAATACTGGAATTATTCAACAATTGCAAAAATGCTTTGGATGATTCATCTAAAAAAAAGACATCCTTTGGATCAGATGGGTTCATGGCCATTACTTGAGACAATTTGATATATGGCAGGTTCAGGCAAAAGCAAGTGATTCTTGGATACGGATGCAACTTTTAAAAGTAAGAGATATATTGAAGAATAAAACTAGAAGTGTGGCTAATTTGATGAATGCTATTAATAGCTGCTGCATTAATGACAAAATCAGTATCTCTTTACAGGATTATTTTCCAGCAACATGGTTTTTTTTGAAGGATCTGAAACTATTTGGGGCGGGTGGGGGGGCGGCGGGTGGTGACTTATCCCCAATGCATTCTTTTCATATTATGGCTTGCATCCCTCTCTAGACTACTCACACAAGACAGGTTGTGTAATATGAGGATGCTAAGCTCAAGCCAATGTGTTTTATGTTCAAATAAAGCAGAGACATGCCATCACATCTTTTTTGAGTGCCAATATTCTTCCAATGTTTGGAATAAAGTGATGGAATTGATGAAATTCAATTGGAGATCATGCTCATGGGATCTGATTATGAATTGGTACAACGGGAACTTGAGAGGAAGAAGTTACAAAAAGAAATTGAAGAGAATTGCACTGTCTGTGTCAGTGTACATGTTAAGGCAAGAAAGGAACTTCAGGATTTTCTAGCAGCAGAGAGCAACAAGAAGCCCTGATATCCTCTTTCGTGCAATCAAAATCAGTGTATATACAAAAGTTTTGAATGATAGAATTCCTCAATATATGATACAGTTCATAGAAAACCTGTCATAGAGAAGATTGGATTTCTAAAATCAGTCTATTGATTTGTATCTTTGATATGTACAAAACTTCTCATACTTGGTGATGAATAAAATTTACATTCATTTACAAAAAAAAAAAAAAAAATAGCAAGCAGAATTCAAGCTCGTTACAAAAAATATTAGGAAGGAGCTCAATTCTTAATTTCGCTGTTAGCGATCTCATAAAGTAACATGATGAATGGATTAATGGCATAAGGTACTGTTGGCGTTATTTATTAAGCTTTTGTGATCTATCTGGGGCTTTTTTATGTAACTAACTAACTGAACTATCTGTGTAGTTCTCAATTTTTGTAAGAGTTATCAATAACCCGCGCCGTCGTTTTAAATCTAATTAGTGGACTGAAAGTTTTATTCTGTTCTTCATATGGCTCGGTCTATGCGTCGAGGGTGTTTACCGATTAGACCCAAGAACAGGAACGGAAAGATTTCCGCTGGGCCCACGTGCACTATACCCATGTAGTTGAACCCTTGTACGGAGCCCACGTGCCGATCATCAAACTAAAATATTCATAATCTATAATTAATCCTATAAAAGGAGAACGTTGCACTCTGGACTTCCCCCACTCCTTTAATTTTCTTGATTTCTTGAAGATCAAATCTTTCTCAGATGGCTCATGGGAATTATAGCAGGCGAAGATGCAATATCTGCCTACTTCAACAGGGCAGGATGTCCAACAATGAGTTCAATGAGCACGTCGTCGCCTGCAACGCCATTCCAAGGGGAGCGCGAGGAGCTCGGCGCCGTCAACAAAGAGTGGATCAGCACGTAGCTGGCCTCATCGGGCGCATGATGCTTCATCCACGAATAGAAAGAGACCTGCTCGGTCAATACCCCGGTGGGTATCCAATCTATGGGCCTCCTCGCGCGCGCACTGGCGGAGTTGCTGACGTACGGGGTGAACAAGTCGACCACAACGGCGAAGGTGAGGGAGTTGTGGGTGAGAGAACCCTTCGTCGACCCCAGGATGCAGCCGACCAGCCCAGGGATGCAGTCACTTGTGAAGCTGACTCCGACGCCGACGCCGACGAAGCTGACGACACCGTCACTGATGACGGGGGACAACGCCGGTTGTTGACTGCGGGTACGACCAGCTTCTTGTTTTTTTAATGCATGTTCTTGAACTTAATTAGTTGCCTTCAACATCTTGATTAAAATTCTTCTAATGTTTTCACATCATTAGCTCGTTCATTTTTTTTCTCATTTTAACTATAATATAATTTCTTGAAATTTCAATCAGTTTATGAAAGATTATGATTTTTTATAATATCGGTTAGGTTTATCGTTAATATTTTTCATCTTTGTCTTAATATTTTATAATTAATTGTTTGTTAATTTTTTGCAGATGCAGTCACCTGCGAAGCTGAAGACACCGGCGAAGATGACGACGCCGGCGAAGCTGACTACACCGGAGAAGCTGACGACACCGTCATTGATGATGGGGGACAACGCCGGGTGTCAACCTCCGGTACGCCTATATCTTCTGCTCTATTCGTCGTTAATTTATAGACTTCTTGTTTTTTTTAATGCATGTTCTTGAAATTAAGTTGCCTTCAACTTAAAATTCTTGTAATGTTTTCACATCATTAGCTCGTTCATTTTTTCTCATTTTAACTATAATATAAATTCTTGGAATTTTAATCAGTTTTTTAAAGATTATGATTTTTTTTTAATATATACCGGTTAAGTTTATCGCTAATATTATTCTTTGTCATGATATTTTATAATTAACTGCTTTTGCAGGTGATGGTAACCTGTAAAGGTCTCTCCGTTTGCCTGATGATCCTCTGCTACAGATATATACCGCGTCCCCTCCTGTGATCAGCAACCCTCTCTCCTCCGTCGTCTTTCTGCAATATTCATTAGTTGTGTGAATTGTTTTACAATACCTGAGAATTAAAGATCTGTCCAACTTTCTGTGTTTTCCAATCACGCGATATTTTTGCGCTAATTTTTAATTTGCAATCGCTTGGAACCTTATTGTAATTTCAGTCACTTTATAATTTGCATTCTGCAATCGGAATGGATTTAATTATTTTGAAAGCATATCGGATCGACTTAATTATGTTCACATAATTCTACGTAGTTCTGTACATAACTATTTAGGACAATTGGACTAATGACACGGCGATTGCGCTGTTATTTTCAGTTGAGAAGCTTTTGTCCGTTAAAATAAAATAGTTGGGAGTTTGGTTTAAAATTGCAAGAGGCATTAAGGGGGTGTTTGGCACTCTGAAAGTGAATTTAAAATATGTAAGTTACTTTTTTTTACAAATGACTTTTACATCCATGTCAGCACGCAAGTGAAATATAGTGTTTGTTTGAAAAATTAAATTATTATCGAAAGTGCAATGTGAAGATGACGTGGCAAAATAAGATTAATTAGAAAATATAATTAAAATTAGGGAAAAATGCTTCCAGCCCCCAAATTCGTAACAAATATGCTTCCCCCTCCCAAGACTTTTTCAACGCTCTAAAAACCCCCAAATTCGTAATAACTGTGCTCTGAGCCCCCAAAACACAAAGCCCAATAATTTTACACAGGTAAAGACTATAATACCCATTCTCTCTCTCTACCCCCTCCGTCCCTTCTGCAACCCTCGTGGCGGCCGAAGCTCCTCTCCGGTCTCACGCCTCGACCCCTCGCCTCCGCTCGCCGAGATCCTCCGTGTCCACCGCCGATCCCAGCGCGGCCTCCGCTCGACCCCTCGCTCGACCCCTCGGCCTTTGCTCGCCGAGAATATTTCATGAAGCTCAGAACCTCAACCTTAACCTGTCCCTGCAGCCTGGGCCTCGTCCCGAGCACGCACGAGTTTTCTCGTGTAACTATTGCAGACGGACTTTTTTACAGCACCCAAGCTCTTGGAGGACACCAGAATGCACACAAGCTGGAGCGCAACCTAGCGAAGAGGAGCAGAGAGATGGCTAATGATTGAATTGATCTCGTAATGACACGTGCGAACTTGATGTTGCTTTGTAGCTTCTGAAACTAATGCATCTAGATTTACTAGCAACAGAGTTTCTTCCTGTCACATGTTTTCTTTTTGGGATCTTTTTCTTTTTTTATTTTCCCCCTTCAAAATAAGTTTTCCTGTTCGAAAAAGAATGCCTCTTCTCTCTTGCATCAACGGTATTTTCTTTCTTCACGTTTAATATACATGTACCCAATGATAGTTATCTTTTCTATTTGCAGATAAGGTTACGGTTGTTAAGGTTACGGGTTGTTAAGATTACGGGTTGCTTGTTAAGGTTACGTGTTGCTTGTTAAGGTTACGGTTTGCTTGTTAAGGTTACGCGTTGATTGTGAAGATTAAGCTTAACAACCAACCCGTAACCTTAACAACCAACCCGTAACCTTAACAATCAACGCGTAACATTCACAACCAACGTGTAACCTTAACAGAGCCATACACCCGTAAACGTTTCCACCCAAGCAACTCGTAAATACCTTCATAAAAATAAAAGAAAAAGGAAGGATAAATAGAAAAAAAGCTTAATTTTTGTTTACTCCTCTACCCTATAATAATTCATAACTCATATAACCTCAAAAAGCTCTATTATGTAAGTGGTCTACTAGTTATATAATTCAAACAACTGATTAAGTAACAACCCACACTATCTTCTGACCGCTTCACTTCTAAATATGCCTTTACGTTTACTGTAACAATTCTACACTTTCCTGTCAGAAAATGCCATGCTTACCAGCACCACTATTAAAACTGCGGTTTGCAATGTATGATTACTTTCATTTTACCACTCACAACACTCCATGCACGAGAGTGTTTGGCTACTCCATGCCATGGGTTTTGAGACCGCTTGACAGCGGTAGCGATGGGAATCAATCCAGCAGATGATGCTATAACATTTGTTTTAGTAGGTGGGTTGCATATTAGGAGCCTCTTGACCCTCTTACTCAAAGTGCAGCTAGATTTTGTAATAATATTTCACCTTTTTAATTTTAGCATGACAATTTTCAAATAGCCCCCAACAACCGATTTATGTCGTTGCTTGTTACCAAGCCCACCGTTGTTTGCTTAAGGGTTAGCACGTGGTTGTTAAGGCTTTACGTGTGCGGTTTGGTTAAAGTTATACGCTTTCGGGGTTGGTTGTATTTAAGGAGGTTTCGGGTTGCTTGTCTTAAGGCTTTACGCCGTTGGTTAGTTAATGTTACCCGAATTATTCAAAAGACCAAACTTTTAATTACGTGTTGGTTAGTTAAGGCTTACAAGCGCTTGCTTGTATAGCGATTATACGTGCCGCTTGCTTATGGTTCACGCGTTGGTTGTTGGAAAGCTTATACGCGTTGGTTGGTTAATGGTCTTGGGTGTGCCCGCTTGTTTAAGGTTACACAGTTGAGTTGTTAAGCGTTACGTCATTACTTGTTAAGGTTACGGTTATTTTAACAACAACGCAGTTTAACCTTTAACAACGCAACCCCGCATTACTTAACAATGCAAACCCCGAGAGACGCTTAACAGAACCAAAACGCCTTATTTTATAACCTTAACACAGTAACCGCGTACTAACCTTAACAACCAACACGTAACCTTAACAAGCAACACGCGTATAACCTTAACAAACCAACACGTAACCTTAATAAGCCAAGCGCGTATACTTTAACACCACGCATAAATTTCCCTGCAGAAAAAACGATGCATATGAAATATTTAACACACCATTCCAACGAAGTTGCTATGAAAAGACATTAGAAGCCGTACAATAATATTCGGCAATGAACGTTGAACCAGCACTATAGATGGTGGCGGGATCGATGCACGACCTGAGGCCGATGCGAGGAGCGGCGTTTTGAATGTTGGGTTCCGACTAGGCCTGTCGCCGAGGCAGGGATTGGCGTTGGCGAAACAGAGGCCGACGGGGTTTTGGTTCTGGAGCCGGAGGCCGCGCTGGGAATCGGCGCGCTGGCACACGGCAGGATCTCGGCGAGCGGAGGCGAGGGGTCGAGGCGTGAGACCGGAGAGGAGCTTCGGCCGCCACGAGGGGTGCAGAAGGGACGGAGGGGGCTAGGGCAAAAATGGTGGGGGAAGGAGGAGGGAGAGAGGAGGGATTGTATGGTTATTACGAATATAATATTAGAGAGAGAGAATGAGTATTATAGTCTTTACCTGTGTAAATTTCTTGGGCTTTGTGTTTTGGGGGCTCAGAGCACAGTTATTACGAATTTGGGGGTTTTTAGAGCGTTGAAAAAGTCTTGGGAGGGGGAAGCATATTTGTTACGAATTTGGGGGCTGGAAGCATTTTTCCCTTAAAATTATTTAATTAAATTACTTACCTTTTTGTCACTTTCATGTGACTTCACCACTTTTTTAGGGGAAGTCAAAATTGCATTAAATCTTATGTGGCAACTTTCTTACATCTCACTTTCATAACCACTTACATGAAAACAAACACCTTAATTGTTAAATGAAAGTAACTTTCTCACTTTCATCTTTCACTTGCATGCAAACAAACACCCCCTAAGTCAGACTCATTAGTCCATTAAAATGAAATAGTCCCAAGATTTCGGAATAGGTAAAGGAATGAGAAGATCCGAATCCTATTATTATAGTGCTGATATTTTTCTCACTTGGGATTAGGTCCGAAAATATCCCTTAATTTACTCCTTAATTTTTCTAAAAACTATCCCCTCTCAAGATTATTTTCTCACTCAGTTTTACTGCCATCTCAGGGGCAAAAATGAATAAAGAATCTAATACCATCCTGCGAAATAAACAGAAACAAGTATATTTCATGCAATAAACATTGTCATAGCATATAAACATAAGTTAATTGATTGCCTCGCCGACTCGGACCACTTATCGTTTGCAACTCTTATGACAGTAGAGTTGGAAACATGGTCAACCATATGAACATATTCACCGTAATTTCATGATAAAGAAACAAATAAATTGAAATTTTAAAAAAAAAATTGTCAACAGATATAGCGCTTCTCAATTACAATCCATACATTCTTCATCTTATTAAGTCAAAAGTACGAAAATGAAACCAACACCCATAAACCGTAACTCTAATTCATAAACGAAAAATCATAATATCCCCAAATTCAAAGAGAAAAATTCACGCGCTCAACTCTGCTAACAATATATGCATACTGACACTACCTGCAGACTGACATCCAAAAAACCATTAATTATAATTTGGTATCCTGAAATATAATGTAATTACACAGGTAGCACTAGAGTCACTATTTACAGACGTACGTAAGCAACTCTCATGGTAATCAGTGTAACTACAATCATTAACTTCAAGGTTACCCATGTAGATACACAATCTTCATGGTCACCTGTGTAAGTACACCATAACTTGGGGTATTGGATTCTAGTTAATCCCATCCGAAAATGCCTTATAACTATGCCAAAAGACTTAACTAAAGTGATGGACACCAAGCGAAGGACATTGTGGACACCTATCACTATGTTATCGCCGTAAACCATCTTATAATGATGATTTCTCAAACATGATATATATACTTCTTACAGGTGTTAATTGAACCAAACAGATTATTAAAATTTTAACTCGGTATAATCTGGTAGACTACTGTATCAGAGGATTATAACGAGTTAAATTAATCACAAGACAAAACAAATCCTCAATCCAGACATGGTCTTGGTTTAAAATTTTAAGAGGGATTGACCAGACTATTTAGTCAATTAATATAGAATTGTCTAGAGATTTCTGACTAAATAATGGATAGAGGAAGGATGTTATTGTAGCACGGAGACTATTTTCCACTTGGGATTAAATGTCAAAAGATTCTCTCGTTCCTTAACCTTCCAAAAATTACCTCAGTTCTCATTTCTTATTATTTCCTTTACTCATTTATGTTACATTGACCTACGGAAAGCATAACAGATATAAAAAATCACAACAGCATCCCCCACCAAGACTTGAACTTTCGTATCAAATCATATAATATCTTCAGT